AACCCAGGGCCTCATGCATGCAAGGCAAGCACTCTACCACTGAGCCACCTTCCCAGCCCTTCCTCTTCCTTTTCTCTCTCACCACTTAGCACTTATATACCAATTTAATCTTACCTTGTCATATCATTCTGTACAAGCATTCGGTACGCAGTTGGTGCTGAACAGAAGACTGTGATGGGAAACTCAGAAAGTGTCTGAAATTAAGAAAAGCAAACGCTTGGCCTCACTATGCCTTAATAAGTGTTTGAATGTCTATGATAGGCCCAGCACGATGGAATCATTATTTATTTACTTTAGTGTACATGAACTCACACTGCTTATCTTTTCAGGCTTATTGATTTACTAGTTATGATATGTCTTAAACCATGATGTCTACTCTCTGCAAGTTACCTTATTCATCAGTCCTATCAGTGATACTGCTATTACATTTCTAAATATGGACCTATTGTGCTCTTTCTTACTTGTAAGATAGAAGTTGACTCAAAACGGGGCAAATGGTGTGCAAATACACATGCTCCTTGGATCCATGGAGAAAAAACACTACTCCATGCAGATTTTGCCCAGCCTGTATCTGAGGTATTCCACATCACATCTGAGGGTGTCAAATCCAGCCAGAACCTTGGAAAAACAAATAATAGTCCCAATATAGAAATTGGTTAAATTTGTAGGAATTTGACATGCATAAATGTGCATGTGAATTTAAATGTACAAATTTGAATGTACAAATGTACAAATATTGAATTTGTAAGAAAATATTAAATTTGTAAGAAAACAAATTTAAAAAGCCAGTTTTGATTCAATACTGTGAAAATACCTTCCATTTACAGATAATCCTAAACCAAAACTGCTGTGGGTATGTCCAATCATTTTAGGAAGTCCAGTTGTTCCGCTGGTAAAGAAAATGGCCATCATCTCATTGTGTTTTGTTCTTACACAGGTGTGATTATCACTGACATGTCTGTAAAGGAAAATCTACAATGAGTCTGCATGTTAAACACTGGCATCAAGTGTGCCCACTGAAAGGATTTGAGAAATCATCTACTTGGAATTTTTAATTTAATACATTAGTCCCCAGTTACTTGAATCCCAAAATATAATTATAATGCCTACCCCATTATCTCATTTAAATATATCTGAAATGCTTGGAACAGTTTCTGGAAAAATAATCAGTGCTATATAAATTTTAACTATTATAGAGAAGGTAGGAACAAGTCCATAGTTACAAGCTGGCTCTCAAACTCTTCAGGAAAGGTAAGAGGCTCATTGTAGGAAGGCAGTTTGCTGCCAGGCTAGTGCTAGGAACTGGCAAGAGTTCCAAATGACTCCTACAAGTAACCCTTAGTAGGATTTGGAATTTCACCATGTACTTTAGATGTTGTTTTTATTTAAACCTAGTACAAGTCTGGTTGTGGTCACAGGTCTGATTGTGATCATTTTTCCCAGCTTTTTTCAAAGATAATGACTTTGTGGTTGATGCCCTTCTTAGATCCCTCCTTGATTCCTCTGTAGGAATGAAGGATTTAATGTCTTTAGAGGTTACCTGAGAGAAGTCTCTTTTCAGGGTTACCCATATCTAATATCTAATACCCATATCTAATAACTGGTCAAGGTGAATGTATAGAGGACATAATCTCTTGCTTTAGCTCAGAACTGCTTTGAGGATTGATTGTCCAAACCAAACCAAGAGGTTCCCAGGGGTGGGGTGAGAGCTTTGTGGGAAATACATTGCAGATACATTTCTCCCTCTGCCCAATCTCATCTTCCTCGCTTTCCTTCACAGGTATTGATTCTAAGAAAACTCTTTTTTTTTCTTTTTGTCAGTGGTGGGTCCTGAATTCTGGAACAGCTTGGATGCTGTCCCTCAGCTCTTCAGCTCAAGGCTAGTGCTCTACCACTTGAGCCACAGTGCCACTTCTGGCTTTTTCTGCTTATGTGTTGCTGAGGAATTGAACCCAGGGCCTCATGCATGCAAGGCAAGCACTCTAACACTGGGCTACCTTCCCAGCCTCAAGAGAACCCTTTAATAAGCTTCTTTCACTTCATCTCAGGGATTTTTTCCTGGGGATACCAACATATAAAAAAACACTTTCAACCTCTTCCTGCCTCAGAGCTTAGCACTGTTAATGCTGCAGTAATCACCAATTGTTCTGATTACTACTGGGTTGAGTAGTTTCTATTGCCTTTTTTTTTTGTCAGTCATGTGGCTTGAACTCTGGGCCTGGGCACCGTCCCTGAGCTCTTCATTTCAAAGCTAGTGCTCTACCACTTGAGTCACAGTGCCACTTCTGGTTTCTGGTGGTTAATTGGAGATAAGAGTCTCATGGACTTTCTGCCCAGGCTGGCTTTGAACCATGATCCTCAGATCTCAGCCACCTGAATAGCTAGGATTACAGGTGTGAGCCACTAGCACCTGGCCTTTCTTTTAAGGAAGCTGCTCTGTAGTTAAGGCTACTCACTTCATCATCTCCTTGATGTTCCCCCACCCATCTCTGGAGTGCTTGGACACCATTAGCTTGCAGTGGAGATGTTCACACTTAGGGGCAACAGCATCTACTAGTGGGGCTAAAGCATCATTGGTAATAATGCACTTTGCTTTTGAAGATTGCAGTCTGTAGAGGATGTCTTTCTGGGTCAGTTGAGGGGTTCCTGGGATTAAAATTGTTCCTAAAAGAGTATAAAATAAACAATATTTAAAAGTCAGGTTTTCCTTATGCTGTTTAGCATAGTGTAGATAGTGTATGTACTTTCTGTATTTTTCAGAATAGAAGACATCTGTCTTCTGTTATTCTGGTTTTGCCTCTCAAGAGGTCTCAAAGTCTGCAATCCTTTTTCCTTAACACAAAAGAGTATTCAACTAGATAATTATCCTGTATTTGAAGACCATCCATTGGGCTTGAAGAATATTATAATTAAAAAGTAATTACTGAGTACTGGTGGTGCACACCTATAATCATAGCTACTCGGGAGACTGAGATCTGAGTATCATGGTTCAAAGCCAGCCAGGGAAGGAAAGACTGTGAAACTCTTACCTTCAACAAACTACTCAGAAAAGTTGGAAGTGGTGCTGTGGCTCAGGTGGAAAAGTACTAGCCTTGAGTCAAATAAGCTCAAAGACAGTGCCCAAGACCTGAGGTCAGGCCCCAGCATCAGCACATGCACACGCATACACTCACACACACACACACACACACACAATTACACAACACTTATTGAGTACTTGAGTCTCAGATACTATTTTAAGTGTTTTTCACATTTTAACTCATTCAAAACATAACAGAAAAACTCTAAATGTAAAAGCTGTGGGTAACTTGCCCAAGATTGCCTAAGTAGCAAGTGGCAGGTAGGGATTCAATGCTACAGCCTGACACAGAAGCTAGACACTTACCACTTCAGTCCAGTGACTCTTATAGTGTACATGATTGTTTGGGGTTTTCCCAGAAAGAAAATGGTTGGCACATGCATCTTTATTTTTTTTTCATCCTCCTTCTCTGGCTTACTGTAGATTACACTGTGAGGTAATAATGAACTTGACTTTCCTCAAGTCTGCTTTGAGAAGCTACTGTACCTCCATGACCCATTTTCTATCTGTAAAATGGGAGTAATAATATTCCTTTCTTTATAGGGTTATTTGAGGAGTAAACAAGGTAAAACATGTATAGAGTTTAAATAGAACTCAATTTTTAGCTATTGAGAAAACACTATCTTTTTTTAAGATGGTATTTTATTCAAGAGTCTGTTTGTCTAATCTTCTGGGATCTACCACTCTTAGTTCCATACCCTCAAGAGAAGAATTGAAGGCATTTGCTTCACAATGGTTTTTATTCTTCCCAAGTGATGGTGCAGGCAAGTAGGACTGAGAAACACATGCTTGCCATTCATGGACTCTTGACATTGGCTCAATTTTTCACTTTAGGAAGAATTAGTTTCTCTTCAGGTACCAAATAAGACAAGAACACAAAGTTCTTCAGAATAGCTCCTCCTCCTCCTCCTCCTCCTGCTCCTCTTTTTCTTCTCTTACTCTTTCACCTTCTTTTTCTTCTTCCTCCCCTTCTTCCACCCCCTCCTTTTTCTTGTCCCCCTCCCCCTCCTCCTCTTCCCCCCTCCTCCATCCTCCTTTCTGACTCTTCTTCCTGATATCCTGGTCTAGGGCTTGGATTCAGACTAAAGTGTCCTCCCTTAGCTTTTTCATTCAAGGTTGGCACCTGTATCACTTGAGCCACACCTCACTTCCAGCTTTTTGGTGGTCTTTTAGAGATAAGAATCTCACAGATGTTACTACTCCAGATGGCTTTGAACTATGAGCTTCAGACCTCAGCTTCCTGAGTGGTTAGGATTATAGACATAAGCCACTGGCGCCTAGCCCAAAATGGTTTTGGGATTGGCTCAGCTTCACTCTTTTTTTTTTTCTTTTTGTTTTGTTTCATTTACTTTTCTCTTTTTTTTCTTTACTTTTTTTCTTACTGAAACACAAACTCAGGGCCTCACACTTAAAGGCGATATTCCTTAGTCTGTTTTGCCTCCTGAGTAGCTAGGATCACAGGTATGAGCCACCATGCCTGGTCCCTATCTTTTCTTTCTAATCAGAGCAATGCAGCAGTTTTTGTGAAGCTTTATTCTATGATTATTTCTTAGAAACGTTCCATCTAGGGATAAGAATTATCCTACTATAAGCTGTGACACTTTATGTAATTGAATGCTACCCTTAACAGGAAGCTTACTGCCAGTCTTTTATGCACAAGAGCACTTAATAACATTTCTGTTGATCATTTCTGCTCTTACAGAATTCATATCATATCTTTAAAGGAACATGCTAATAGTAATCAATCTTACCTATAAAAAACTACTTTCTACCTAAATTAAGTATTAAATTTTTTCCAGGGGCAAACAGTTACTTTACATTTAAAGGCCTTCTGGCTGGGAAGGTGGCTCAGTGGTAGAGTGCTTGCCTTGTATGCATGAGGCCCTAGGTTCGATTCCTCAGTATCACATAAGCAGAAAAAGCCAGAAGTGGTACTATGGCTCAAGTGGTAGAGCACTAGCCTTGAGCTGAGTTCAGGCCCCACAACTCACACACACACACACACACACACACACACACATTTTATATATATATAGATATATATCTATATATCTCCTTGTGGCATTTCTCTGAAGTGGTGTCATAGTTAATTATAAATACAGTGGATTCATTTATTTGTTCACTTATTCATTTAAGATATTTATAAAATTTAAAATATTTAATAAAATGTTAAAGTTTATAATAAATACTTTTGTAAATGCCTACAAAATGGTAGAGAATAAGACATAGGTCTCCTATCCTGGATGTTACATTCTAATTCAGGGAGATAGACAGTAAGTATATCTACACTAAGAAGGAATGTTATGGTACTGTTAAGAGGCAGGGACCATGTAGCAAGTGGTAGGTAGATAGATAGGGTGGCCACTGTTAGCGGGATTTCTGTGTACTTACTTTGCATATGAAAAGTTCAGAACTCTCAAAATTTCTGCTTCTGTTATTTGCACAAACAAATAGAAATTGGTGGTGCCACTAAAACCATAGAGAAAAGATCTCAGAAAAACACCATAGAGCAGCAGAACTGACACTATGCTGGCTTGTTTTGTTTTGTTTTTGTTTTGCTTGTTTCTCTAATCAAGATATGACCACAGGGGCTGGGAAGGTGGCTCAGTGGTAGAGTGCTTGCCTTGCATGCCTGAGGCCCTGGGTTCGATTCCTCAGCTCCACATAAGCAAAAAGAAAAAAGCC